AAAGCCCAGGTTCTATTTCTCAGTACCACATAAACAGAAAAAGCCAGAAGTGGTGCTGTGCCTCAAGTGGTAGACCGCTAGCCTTGAGGGAAAAAAAAAGGTCAGGAACAGTGCCCAGGCCATGAGTTCAAATCCCATGACTGGCAAAAAAAGAAAAAGAAGAAGAAGAAACAATAAATATACAGTTACTCCATGGACAAGATAAACTGTCCTGTTGCATACAGTCTGCAGTGTGGTCACATTTGAGGCTGTCTGTAAAAGGAAAAGGGTTAGGTGACAACAAAACATTTCCCTGGAGAGCGGAAAAATTCTACTGCTGTTGGAACACGGTGCAAAACAGCAGGGGAGTTAGGCAGGTGTACACACTATATTTATCTATAGAGCTACCGAGATAAGCCTCCAGAGCACTCTGCTCCCTGCTAGTTGAGGCTGATGCCATGGCCCAGACAATGGCGGTCAATGCCTGTTTCTATGCACATCTGTATTTAGACATCACTCAGTACCATCCTCTACCATGGCTAGTGCCAGAGGCAGTGATCAGGTGCTTCTGTGTTCTTGGAAAATCTACCTTCAGTACAAAACTCAAAGGCTCCCAAGAAAAGTGTTATTGCTCACGTCTGTAATCCTAGCTACTTAGCAGGCTGAGATCTGAGGATCTCGGTTCAAAGCCAGCCTGGGCAGGAAAGACCGTGAGACTCCTATCTCCAATAAACCACTAGAAAACCGCAAGTGGAGCTGTAGCTCAAGTGGTACAGCGCTCGCCTTGAGCTGAAGAGCTGAGGGACAGAGCCCAGGCCCAGAGTTCAAGCCCCACCCCCCCCCACCCCCCAAAAAAAGACAAGTCTTATTTTCTACTAGTTGGGACCACAGGCTGGCCTCTCTGGAGAACAAATCTGGTTTGGCAGTGGATGGAAATACTCTCTATTTTCTTGCTTCTTGTGGTTACAGCCAGCAGCTTAAAGTTCTTTGTGAAGTATTGTGTGGTGTGACACACTTACAGTACTGGTTACTCAAGAGGATCATTTGAGCCAAAAGATACAAACCAGCCTGAGAAACAGCATCTTAAAGAAAAAAAAAGTCTTTTGCAAGACTTCTGTAACCTAATGTGTCCTCTTGCTTCCAGTCACAGAAAGATTTAACTCCTCTTAGGTTGGCACATCCACTGTTCCTCTAATGAAGACCAACAGAGGCAGGCTGTCTATAATACCTAGAGCCCTGACTCACTACCCTTGGAAACAAGGAACAGTTCTCAAAGGGAAAACAGCCACACTGAGATGCTGAACCTACCCAATCACTGGAGTATGAACTGTGCTACTCCATTAACATTTTCCCAAGATTCTCAGGTCACTATTCTGCAGACAGAGCTTCTTCACCCAAAACAACTATGAACACAACCTTCAGGGCTAGATCTACACATATCACACCATCTTCTGTTTTATAATTTTCTCCATAAATATCACATACATCTTTTGTTAAATTCCTAGATACTTTATGTATCTGATATTATTTAAAGATTACACTTTTTTTTGTTGTTGCGGGCCTTGATTTCAGGGTCTGGGCTCTGTCTCTGAGCCTCTTTGTGCTCAAGGCTAGCACTCTATCACTTGAGCCACAGCACCACTTTCAGTTTTTGAGTGGTTAATTGGAGATAAGAGTCTTATGGGGACTTTTCTGCCTGGGCTGGCTTCAAACCATGGTCCTCAGATCTCAGACTCCTGAGTAGCTAGGATTATAAGCATGAGCCATCAGCGCCCGACTTTAAAAATTACTTACACTTACACACACACACACACACACACACACACACACACACACACACACACACACACACGAGAGAAAAAGAAAAAGGAAAAAAAAATCTAATTCTTTTCTAAGTTGAGAATATTATTTCACACACGGAAACAGAGTACAATACTATATGGAGAACAGTGGGCTGTTTTGACTTGTTCAAATAGCAAATTTTCAGCTTTTTGTTTTTTGTTTCTGGATCTTGGGGCTTGAACTCAGGGTCTAGGCGCTGTTCCTGAGATTTTGTGCTCAAGCCTCTACCACTTGAGCAACAACTCCACTAGTGGCTTTTTATTAATAGTTTTCATTATTTTCTGGCTTTTAGAGTAAATAACTGGAGAGAAGAGTCTCATGGATTTGAACCATGATCCTCAGGTCTCAGCTTCCAGAGCAGCTAGGATTACAGGCATGAGCCACGGGCACCCAGATAATTTTTCAGCTTTTCCCATGAAAATCAGGTTGAGAAACTCCCCTCTATATGTAGGATGCTTTGTTTTTTTCTAAACCAAGTAGGTAATAATCACAGAGTAAATGTCCTTTTAGGACCTTGGTAACCAGCTTTTGTCTCTTTGGCAGGGACAGAAACGCCTCTGTCTGTGGGCTGATATTGTGTATAATCAGTTCTCCCCTCCTACCTTACCTTTTGTACTTAGTTCTAGCAATCCATCCAGCTTCCCTGCTATACCTGCTTCCTGCTGGGCCTAGCACTTGGCCACCTATGGACCCCGAGGCCAGGCAAGGCTTCATAGGCTCATCCCAGATGGGTGGAAAGCATGGCAATGAGAGGCTCAACTCTGAACAAGCTCAGCCTCTAGTGAAGGCAGGGTCCCTCCCAGCACTCACCTGAGAGGCTCTGTCCCAGGCCCTGGCTCTCCTCTGGTCCTGGCCCATCCAGGACCCACGGGTCTTCTCCTCTTTCCAGCTGGGAGATTACACTGGGCTTGGATCCTGGTAATCCTGTTTGTTGGGAGGGAAGCCCTTTGTTTATACATTTACCAATATCCTCTTAGCCAGCGTCACCTCTGGGGGACATGAAGATGGACAGGCCTGACTTGTTTGCAATGAACATCTGGAGGTGAGTGAGCCACCAGGAGCCTGTCCCGAGTCCCCATTCCACAGCCATCTCCCTTTGGAAACCCTCATCCCAGTCCACCACGTATGGCCACAGACAGGCCTCTGGAGGGGCCTTACCCAGGGAAACCACATTCCCATAGGTCTCCATCATCACGTTTCTGTAGAGACCCCTCTGAGCAGGGCCCAGCTGGTTCCACTCCTCCTGGGAGAGGAGCACAGCCACATCCTCAAAAGTCACTTTGGCCTAGAATAACAAGAGTCAGGTGAGGACAAACCTCAGTGTCTGAGAAGAAAATGGGGGAAGGAGTATCTGGACACAGGTGATGAGGTGATACTCAGGCTTCCCCACGAATCCTCAACGTGGAAGAAACGGAAGGACACCGCACAAGCTTGGGATAGCGTACCTGGGGTGCTGCTGGCAGCCGCAGAAACCCAGCTGCTGCCATCATGTCTTTCAGTGCCTGTGCGAGCAACAGGAGCCAGAGAGTCCTGTGGGTCAGAGAGGGGAAAAACATGTAAGGGATCGGGCCTTGCTCCCAGTAGCCCCTGACTTCCTGGGGGACCCTTGTCCTCATACAGAGCCGAGCCGGTGAGCAGCATGCTGAGAGGAGACCCCAGGAGATGCAGCCACTGCAGGTCTTCTCTGTCACATCCCCTCACCCATGCTAAGTTGGATCTTTGATTGTGGAGGGAGGCCTGTCCAGGCCCTGAACAAACACAGGGTTCCAGGCCATGGCCCAGGAAAGTCTCACTTAATAAGCACCAAAGATCTCTGAGCTGCACGTGGAAGGTACCCCTTGGCCTCCTGAGGGCAAAGGGTCCCCATCTTCTCGCTCCAGACTTCAGGGACCCTCATGATTGGCTGATCACTTTTTTTGCTCTGGCCCATGGTTTTGCCTGTGCACAATAGCAGATTCTCAGGAATCAGTGTGTTCTATATCCAAGGCACTTACATGGGTCACATGGGGGCTACAGGTATCAGACCAAGTTACCTCCTAAGACACACTTCCGATGAGAGAAGTTTGGCTACAAAGGGTGGGAACTAGATGGTCCAATAAGAAAAGCTTGGCCACCAGGGTGGGAATTAGACGGTCCTGCTTGAAGCACCACAGTTATATAGAGGTCGTAGAGGGTTCAGATCCTGAGTCATGTTTATGTATTCTTTGGCAGCCCTAGCACTCTGACAGGATAGACTCCAGCCCTATGGCTCAAGCTGGGTGCTGGCAGCACAAGCTGAGCAGTGGTTGCTCTGAGTCGAGTGGCCTAGGCATCAAGTCTAAGACCTAAAGGAGGATTTGCCTAAGTGAGAAGGGAAGGCCTGGGCATGGGTGGGTGCTAGATATGTACCAGGACAAGGTAAACTCAGTATTCAACATCTTCAAAAGAGGGGAAAAAGAGGGGACCCAACTGATAAACTGGCCCTATAGAGAATGGGCTTGAGTCTTCCAGAATATTAAGGAAAGGCTGCAGTAGTGACACAGAGCCTATTCTACAACCAAAGGCAGGCACATGACAAATGGGATATTCAAGGATGAAATGATGGGTATTATGGTGTGAGTGGGGAAGTGCCTAGGGGCAGAAAGAGTCATCTCATTTTTCTTATAAAGTATCAGATATATGTGTATATTTGCATGGACAGTCATTGCAAAGTGCCCCTTTGTTATGCACGTTTTTTTGGGTATAGGTGGGTTTTCCAAATGAATGGAAGACAAATTTTTAATAGTGCATAGTGAGAAAAATGGTTAGGAGGGTAAATGAAGACAGATTCCAAGCTCCTCCCACACCTAAATAAATTCTAGAGGGACTCAACATATTACAAATGCTAGATACAAACAACAACTTACATTGGGCACATGCCTGTAATCCTACTCAGAAGGCTGAGATCTAAGGATCGTGGTGCAAATTCAGTCTGAGCAGGAAAGTGTGTGAAACGCTTTTTTTTTTTGTCGGTTGTGGGGCTTGAGCTCTGGGCCTGGGCACTGTCCCTCAGCTCTTCAGCTTAAGGCGAGCGCTCTACCACTTGAGCTACAGCGCCACTTCCGGTTTTCTGGTGGTTTATTGGAGATAGGAGTCTCACGGTCTCTCCTGCCAGGGCTGGCTTTGAACCGAGATCCTCAGATCTCAGCCTCCTGAGTAGCTAGGGCTACAGGTGTGAGCCACCAGTGCCCGGCTAGTGTGTGAAACTCTTATCTCCAATTAACCACTAAAAGCTGGAAGTGGAGGTTTAAGTAGTAGAATGCTAGCCTTAAGTAAAAAAAATAAAAAGCTCAGAGACAGCACCCAGGCCTTGAGTTCAAGCCCCAGTATCCGCACAAAAAAACAACGGCAGCAGCAGCAACAACACAAATTATTTTAAAAATAATTATTAAGTATGGCAGCCCTTTGAAACATAAAACAAAGCCCAAAATTAGTAAGGAAAAAAAATCTGGCCTTTTAGGAAACAGCAAAAAGTCCAAATCACTTCCCTGAAGTCCAAAGATACATTGGGAAGTACATTTTCAACATGTATGAAAAGAATATGTGCTGGTAAACGACACAGGCGATACTAATAGCTAAACCACAAACGAAGGTTTCTGCCTCACCAATAACCTCGGCTCGGGGGGCTCGGGCCTCGGCCTCGCCGCTCGGGGGGCTCGGGCCTCGGCTCGCAGGGCTCGGGCCTCGCCGCTCGGGGGGCTCGGGCCTCGGCTCGCAGGGCTCGGGCCTCGCCGCTCGGGGGGCTCGGGCCTCGGCTCGCGGGGCTCGGGCCTCTCGGCTCGCGGGGCTCGGGCCTCTCGGCTCGCGGGGCTCGGGCCTCTCGGCTCGCGGGGCTCGGGCCTCTCGGCTCGCGGGGCTCGGGCCTCTCGGCTCGCGGTGCTCGGGCCTCGCCGCTCGGGGGGCTCGGGCCTCGGCTCGCAGGGCTCGGGCCTCGCCGCTCGGGCCTCGGCTCGCGGGGCTCGGGCCTCGCCGCAGGGCCGGCTAAGCCAGAATGTGGAGCTCAGCCTTGGCGATACCGGGGCCACCTCCGCGCGCGCGCAGCAGCCGTGTCTCCCTCACACCCCGGCCAAACCGCCAATTCTCTCGGGAGGCCCGTCCCCGAGTCCCCCGCGTGCACCCCTGCGGCGCCCGGCTCCGACCTTGGGTGGCTGGAGGCCCGACCCCGGTGCAGCGTGGAAGGGCTCCGGGCGGGGCCGGGGGAGGAGCGGCTCGCGTCCGCGGCCCGCGCCGCGCCTCCGTGAGGGCAAGGCGGGCGGCGGCTGAGGGTCGGCCCCGCCGGAGCCGCCGCCCGCTCACGGCCAGTCGCAAGCTCGGCCCGGGGCACCGGCGGCGGCCGCCCAGACAAAGAGGCCAGCAGCGCGTCCGGGGCCCGCAGACTCCGCCCCCGACGCCGGGAGCGCTGGCTCCGGAGCTCCACGCTGCGGAACCGGAAGCGCGCCCCGCCCCGCCCTCCACGCGCCCCGCCCCGCCCTCCACGCGCCCCGCCCCTCACCCCTCCCGCCCCGCCCCGCCCCGCCCCGCCCCTCCAGTCTTTTTCCGGGTCACCGACCGCGGGGCAGCTCTTTCGAGCCGCCAAAAGCCGAGGCCTCCGCCCGTCCTGAGCAGCTGTGCTGCGCCTCGGGCCGTCCCCGCGCGGCCCGGCTCTTACTTCCGGGCGCGTGGCGGAAGTGAGTCCCGAACTTCGCGTGCCGCGGTGGAACTCTGGCTTTCTCCCTCTCGGTTCCTGCACCTCAGAGGTGCGCTCGGCCCGGAGCGCCCTTCCCAGGCCCCGCCCGGCGGCTTGTGGTCGCCGCTCGCGAGGCGTCTTGCTGGGGGCCGTGTTGTTTCTGCAGCCCTTAGAGGGGCTGCCCGGCCGGCGGCCGCTGCCCTCGCCTGCGCCAGGCCTTCGGGAGGACCGCCCGCTGGACCGGGGTGCCCGGCGCCGGCTGCGCTGTGTCCCGAGGCGGCTGGGCTGAGGAGTGGCAGCGAGCACACCAGCGGGGACATTACCTGCGCGAGCACTGCTATCGCGTTAGCACCCCGACTCCGCACTTTACCCACGAATACATTCACGTGGCCAACACTAACGAGGTGCGGACAGGTATTTGAGCAACACTGCAAACGCAGTGCCATCCACGCACATAGTACCACCCTGTTTCCCACCGCCTGTCCCAGGGCAGAGCTTAAGCCACACAGGGTCCAGTGGGACGGCCTCCTGCTGCTCAGGCTTCTTCATAGGCTGGAGAGTGTGACCTTGCTTACCTCCGAAGAGTGGCGAACTGGCCTTGGTTTGCTCCGTTTTTATGCCTGTTCGTCTTCCAGGCATGCCCACCTGTCAGCTCCCTAGTTCGTGCAACTCAGTCTGCGTGTGTCCCCCTTGACGTCATCTGGGTGTGAGTAGTTCATTTCCATATCTTCATCTCCCATGTAGTCTTGGCCCCCTCGTTGGTCTTGAACTCTGGGCCTTGGCGCTTTCCCCTTGCTCTATATAGCTCAAGGCTAGCACTCCACCACTTGAGCCACAGCACCACCTCTGGCATTTTCTGTGCATGTGGTACTGAGGAATCAAACCCAGGGCTTCATGCATGCTAGGCAAGCACTCTACCACTGAGCCAAATTTCCAGCCTAGTCTTTATTAGAGGCTGAATATCCCTTCTTCCAGACATGTCCTAGAACTTGTTTGCCACACAGTATAAGGAACTTTGAAGAGGATTTAAAGTTATGGGCAGGGCCCTGGTGGCTCACACCCCTAATCCTAGCTACTCAGGAGGCTTAGATCTGAGAGTCACTGTTCAAAGCCAGTTTGGGCAGAAAAGTCCATGAGAGGCTTATCTCCAATGAACCACCCTCCCACAAAGGGGGGGGGGGAAAGCAGCTGTAAGTGGAGAGCTGTGGCCTAAGTGGTAGGGCGCTAGCCATAAGCACAAAACTCAGGAATAGGCCCTGAGTTCAAGGACCTGCGCACACATGTAAGTTATGAAATTGATGACCCTGATTGACCTTAATTACATGAGCCTCTCAAAATCCAAGAAAATGACAAGCCTGTGCTAGACCCTAGATGCGTGGGTCGCCTGCACACGGGGGGGGGGGGGGGGGGAGTGGGGTGGGGCTGCCCTGGCTGGGAGGAAACGCGAATGCCAAGTTTGCATGTTTGGACCCTCAATCCCCAGACCACCGACAGCCGCATTCTCGACCCCAAGTGGCCGCGAGTGCCGAATCCTGACCCAGCCTTGAGCCGCACGCGGCCAGAGCGCGACCACGCATCGGCCCAGAGACTCCCCTGTACCCAACTCCACCTCGACCCGCCCCAGAGCGCCTCCAAATCGAGGCCGAGCGCGCCCCCGTCCCAGGCCGCCCCGCCTCCAACTGCGCCCCGCCCCGCCCGCCCCGCCCGCCCCGCCCGCCCCGCCCGCCCCGCCCGCCCCGCCCGCCCCGCCCGCCCCTGCGTCCGAGTGCGTGAGGCTCCGCCCCATCCTGCCCCTCGCCACGCCTCCGAGTGAGCGAGGCTCCGCCCCATCTTGCCCCTCGCCACGCCTCCGGGTGTGCGAGGCTCCGCCCCATCCTGTCCCTCGCCACGCCTCCGGGTGTGCGAGGCTTCGCCCCGTCCGGCGCCTCACCACGCCTCCGAGTGCGCGAGGCTCCGCCCCATCCTGCCCCTCGCCACGCCTCCGAGTGTGCGAGGCTCCGCCCCGTCCGGCGCCTCGCCACGCCCCCGAGTTCCGGGTCTCCCGCGCTGCCCGCGGAGCCGTGCGCTGCGGACGTACTTCCGGAGGAGGCCCCGCGTGTGTGTGTCGGCAGCCGCCGCGACCCATGGCGGTGAGTGGAGAGGGGAAGGCGCACCGGTGCGGGGCCCGGCCGGCCGGCAGCCCCCTGTAAGTCTCGTGCCACTTCCTTCTCCAGGCTCCAGAACGCCCTGCGCGGGAGACGCCCGCGGCCCCACGCCCGGGTGCTGTCCGCGCGCCCCGCAAGCCTCGGCTTTCAGGTTCTGTCCGGGGCGCCCGGAGTTCAGCTGCCGCCGCCCAAGGCTCCGGGCAGCCGCAGGGCTGTGGCGCCGCCGCCCGAACTCGTCCCGGGGGTGGAGACGGCGATGCTGCCTCCAGGAAGCCAACACGGAGGAAAACCCCGGCCGGGGCGTCGGTGAGGGAGGGCGGCCCGGAGGAAGCCGCTCCCGGCGCCGAGGCCCAGGCAGGTGCGGGAGGCCCCGCGCGTCTGCGGGGTCGAGGCCTCGCGCGGGCTGGGCTGGGGTCGGCGGGGTTGGGGGCTGGGCTGCGGGCTGCGGCGCGTCAGCCCCTGTCCCTCGTCCATGGCAGACAGACCAGCTGGCCCAGGAACTGGCCTGGTGCGTGGAGCAGCTGGAGTTGGGCCTCAGGATGCAGAGACCAACCCCGAAGCAGAGTAAGGACCCTCTTGTAAACTTGAGGGGGAAGGATGTGGTGCTGTGGCCTGTCGGTGCTCCCCCACAGTGGTTAGCACAATGGATACGGGAGATGACTCGTCCTTTCTTTGCAGAGGAGCAAGCCGTTGGGGCCATTCGAACCCTGCGCAGTGAAAAAGCCCCCCTGCCACGCAAGAGACAGCTGATGCGCTCCTTGTTTGGGGACTACCGGGCTCGTATGGAGGCTGAGAGGCAAGAGGCCCTGCGGGCACTTCGGACTGGTGAGCAGCAGGGAAGTGGTTGGCTTAGCACATCTGTTTACTAGAGGGTCGAGAGGAAGTGGAAGGAAGAAGCCCAGTGCTTCTGGAGATGAGGTCAGGGTAGCATGAGAAAAGTTTGTACCTCTGAAAGGGGGAAGTCCTGAGGGGGATGAGTAGCCACAGATGTGTTTTCCTTATCCGTCTCGGGATGGGGAAAAGCACCTCACCTGTCTTTGCCCTGACCTTCTCTTTTGCACATAAAAGCAGATCAAATAGTGTTTTGAGTGTAATTCCTGCAATGGAATATTCCGTTTAGGTCTTCAGATCTTAACACTTTTAGCCACTTAGTGCATCTCTCTCTGACTCGAAAGGTGGAATGATAATACCTATCTTACAATTTTGAGAAGCTTATTAGTAAAATTATTCAGTGGAGTTAGGGTTATATGGGAAATCATAAACTGCATCTGTAATGTTACTGTTATTCAATTCTGACTCTCTGCTTTCCTCTCCCTGGCAGCTGCTCATTCAGCCCAAGTACAGCCTGTCAGTGAGGCTACCAGAAAGAAGAGCAGAAGGGTCTGCAGGCCTCGCCCAGCAGGGAAAGCCAAGGCTATTCTGGACTCTTCTGATGAAGAATTTAGGTTCAATTTCTTTTAGACTGTCACCACATTCTAGAACAGTCCTCTCCTACGTTAGAGTTTAAGTGCAGGGCCTTTCCAGAAATTCTGTCAGCATTGTCCTTGGATTATCTGTGACTGGCCTTTGGATCTGAGTTTGGTGGGTAAGATTGTCTGGTGAACATAAAACCCCTTCTGTAGGTTTTTTGATAAACTCTTTCTTGTTTGACAAGAGAGATTCATTTAGAAAATATTTAATAAATGGAGGTGAGTGTTTAATATTGTACTCAGTGTCATGATTTGATAAAGTTGTCATTTCTGGAGAGGATTTATTGGGATACTACATATTTTATAGTGGATTCAATTTTGAAAGGATGCTTTGAGATGGGTTAGTGCCTTGTGCATTATAACATCTTAATGTCTTTGTATTATGTAGATATATCTATACAGATAAAACACGGACACATATTTAGAAAGCTAGGTAATGCCATCTGTGTAGAGAAGTAAAAATGAAGCAGGGGCTTGGCATTGTAGTATTCTGCTCTGACCCCGGGGGTTGGTTCTATTTCTGTGTTGCCTACATGTTTGAGCAGGTGTCATTCTCAGGAAACCTGCATGGCCTCCAGCAGTCTAGGCTCTGTTTGCAGGTGCCAAGGAGCTTCTTACAATCTTCCTGGCCAGAGATCTGGATTGAGCCCTAGCAAACTACCTCTCTAAATGTTGACACCATTACCAGGCCCTCCATTGAATTGGGATGACCTAAGAAACTTGAGGAGTCTTTAGCCAGGGGGATCTTCACTAACTAGGTTGGTTAAATTGCTCCCACACTAAATAGAATCTAGAGCCCAGGAATGTGCTCAGTATCTCTGTGATGTTTCATGGACAGTTCAAACTCAACATGTTTAAAACACCTGATTAAGGCTCCAAATGTTTCTTCTGCTTTTCAGTCAACAGCACTATTGCTTCATCTAGTTCACGGATGAGGAGCCTTTTTTTTCTGCTAGCAGCCATTTTGATATTTGTAACATCTTTCAGTGCCTATACAAAATTACCAGTATGGTTAGCTGGCCGTGGTTAATTGACAAGAAACCTATGTTTCTGCCCCGTCGTGGATGTCCTGTGGGCGAGGCTTTCCCCACCTCTGATAGTCAGCTATGAGTAAGCTACAAACCTGTGTCATTCTTGTCATTTTCCAATACCATACTCATCTCTGCCTTCTCAACTCTACATTTTTTTCTGCTTTTCTTTTGTGGGGGTGAGTGCTTGGACCGAGGGCCTCACTGATTTTTTTTTGTTGTTGTTGTTGGTCATGGGGCTTAAACTCTGGGCCTGGGCGCTGTCCCTCAGCTCTTCAGCTAAAGGCTAGTGTTAATACCACTTAAGCCACAGCACCACTTCTGTTTTTTTTCCTGAGTGGTTTATTGGAGAGTCTCATGGACTTTTCCTGCCTGGTCTGGCTTTGAACTGTGATCCCCAGATCTCAGCCTCCTGAGTAGCTAGTGAAAGGTTAAAGTTTGAGGCAGTGACCACCACTTGTTGCTCGTTTCTGTCTAGCAAAGCAACACGTGGTGGCAATCAAAACACCTGGTTGATTGTGTGCCTGTATAAGACCTGCAAATCCTTAGCTCGGGACTCTCCTCCTAGGCTCCGCTGTGTCGGAGTGTAGGACGAGGCCCGAGCTGCAGCCCGTTTAAATAAAACAGCTGTAGAGTCTGACTCTCGGTGGTCTTCTTGGGGGGTGGCGGGGTTCCTGCGACCTTGGCATAACACTAGGATTACAGGCGTGAGCCACTGGTGCCCAGTTGGCCTCACTGATTTTTTACCTTGAGCCTCACCTTCACTTCAGGCTTTTTGTTGGTTAATTGGAGATAAGAGTCTCACAGGCTTTTCCTGCTGCAGCTAGCTTCAAATTTTGATCCTCAGATTTTAGCCTCCTGAGTAATTAGGATTATAGGTATGAGCTACCAGTGTCTGGCAGGTTTTTTTTTGTTTTTTTTTTAACTCAAGGTGGCTTTACTATATATATGGCTTAGTGTGCTGGCATGCTAGGCTTAAGATTTTCCTTATCATTCTA